AGGGAAGGGAAGGGAAGGGAAGGGAAGGGAAGGGAAGGGAAGGGAAGGGAAGGGAAGGGAAGGGAAGGGAAGGGAAGGGAAGGGAAGGGAAGGGAAGGCAGGTAGGTAGGTAGGTAGGTCAGCCTTCATATTTACTATGCTTTGTGTGCTACAATACAGTTTATCAGAAAGGCACAAGTACCACTCTCCCTGCCACTGTGCATTTTTTCCCTTTCATTAAAAATCATTCTATGTGTATCATGTGTATCTGTGTCTTGCCTGCATGGATGCCTGAGTACCACATGTATGCTCGGCATCAGCAGATGTCAGAACAGGATACCGGATGCCTTGGAACTGGAGTTATAGACAGTTGTAAACCGCCATGTGAATGCCAGGATTGAAACTCTAGAAGAGCAAGCTCTCTCAACAGCTGGGTCATCTCTCCAGCCCCACGACTGTGTATCCTTAAGGTAGCATTAGAAAGCAAGTGTCCGTCTATCAGTGGCCAGGGGTGGAGTTGCAGCTCTAAGCTATCACCGGCCCTCAGCAGCCCAGAGAGCTCCCTTAGTCATTTAGGATCTCAGTTCCGGTGAAAGAGCATCCTTGACTTTGATACACAAAAGAACTTCAGGACGTGCCAGTAGGAAGCAAGAATTAGAGTTAGAATTAGAGATAGAAAGACCCAGGGAACGAATGGAGCATAGCAGAGTTCCAATTAAGTGTCTGAACCTTAGCCATAGTTACCATTTTGGTGGCTTAAATAACATCACAGAGGGTTACTAAGAAACCTTTTCTCTCTGTGAAAGTGAGATTAAAGGGTAGCTCCGGAGGTGCCTTGGATGGGACCAGTATGTATGAAACCAGGAGCCACCAGGATTATACAAGAGTTAAAAAGGGAGATTTCTGGTGAGATCCAAGGCAATTGTGGGTTTATAGCTGGAAGGAGGGAAAGCCTTAAGTGGCTGTTGATAACTGTGTTAGAATTCTTGACTATCAATGGCAGAGATTCCAACCAGATTTCTAGGCGAGGGAGTCCCTTCCCTTCCCAGGTCCCTAAGGTTTACTGGCTTTTGATCCTGCCTTGCTTCTGCATAAATGCAATTCCCTATCATTCTGTTCACAGATTCCGGAGCACCTGCAGGTACTCTACCATTCAAAGAGAAGAGAAAATGGTAAGATTTACCTGGCCTTTTCTTGCAAAAAGTCAACATGAGAGCATGCCCAACACATTTTCCCAAACCACCTACCATCTTTCTTTACTTTTCTGATGCTATTAGAAACACCGATTAAAACCCACTTGGAGGGGGCATTTGGCTTACAAGTTCCGTCTTTGAGGGAACCGAAGACAGGAACCCGGAGGCAGAGTCCATAGAAGAACACAGGCTTACTTCCCCTGGTTTGCTCAGCTATCTTATATAGCAGTAAGCTTACCTGCCCAGGAATGACACTGCCTATCATGCCTAAGCCCTCATACATCAATTAGCAATCAATAAAATACTCCCACAGATATGCCCACAGGCCAACCTGATAGAGGCAATTCCTCAATTGGCTAGCCTCCTCTCTAGGTGTGTGGAGGTGCCAACAGCAGCCAACACACCTAGACTCAGCTTGAGACCTCAAGACCTCTCCTTGTTCATCTCTAAAGTCCCCACCACCACCTCTCTCTGCTGCACCCTACCAAGTTCAACAACAGCCATTGTGACATGGGGTAAAAAACTGATAGACTAACATGCGTGGTCTCCCTCCTCCCTCTCATCCTCCTGCCAGTGAGTGCTCCGTCTCTCACCGGGTTCTGTCAGTTTAAGAGCACCTGCTTCCTCTGAGGAGTGACAGGGACTTCCTATTTAGTGACACAATCTCTTCTCTTCTCCACAGGGTCCCTGCAGGTGTTAGTAGCTGACGTGTCCAGTACTGTCTGCTTTCTTTATGGAGGCTTTGAACCTGGAGATCAGCTCTTTCCCTGAACCATCGCTCAACCGTGTCTTTCCCCAGAACAACTGATATTATGCTCTTGAGTGAACGCAGAGTATGAGGTCTGTTCTTGTTTTCATCTGGCGCATTGAGGGCCAACCCAAGGCTTCACCACTGGTGTTCAGGAAGCGCTATTCCTTGAAGATGTGTGTGACAGAAGACACCAAGGGCTTTAACTAAGTTCAGATTTGGGTGTCTCCATTTTAAACAGTGGCTCTGCTTTCTACTTTTATTAAATAAAATTCCAGGAAGCAAGCAAGTGCATCAGTAATTTTAGAATCCAGCTTGCCTATGATCATAAGGGACTTTCAGCCTTTGGAGCAGAGCAAAGGGATCCTTCTAACTGACATGATATTTGAAGACTCTTCCCTTCATAAATCATTGCTAAACCAAAATATTCTCAGTCCTCTCATCTCCGAACCTGGTTTACAGACCTCACAGAATTCAATCTTGTCCACACAAATTCTAGAAAATAACACAGCCTGCATCCGGGTGTCAGTGAGCTTAACTCTAATAGCTTGTGGTACTTACTGATGGTCTCAGTTTCCACGAGACTCATTTTGTCTCTGAAATAGAAGCTGAACTTGTTTCTGTACAGCACTGTCAAGAAGACTGAGTGTGTTCCGCACCCAGTACATCAGTGAGCGTTAGTGATTGGCTGTTTCTATCCTTATTTGGCGGGTGAGGGAAGGGCTTGGTCCTGTCTCAAGATGATGGGACAGACTTAACTGACTTCCCAAGAGAAGCCTTACCCTCTCTGAGGAACAGATGGGAAGTGAGGTGGGGGGAAGGTGGGGAGGCAGGAAGAGAGGGGAGAGGGTGAACCGTAATTGGTTTGATAAATAAATAAATAAAATTTAAAAAATTAAAAACGGGTAGAGGAAAAATGCAAACATCCCGTTCTGAGCTCTTGAACATGTCTTGAGCAGAGAGGAGTCGGCGCTTCCGAGCCAAACACGCATGCTTGCGTGATGAATACAGCATTTGGTGGCTCTGCCATCTCAAGCTCTCTCACCTGCCTCGACTTCAGCTCCTACACGACAGTGAGTCTGTCTCAGGAAGGGACTCGCTGTGGACAGGGGTTGTCCCATCACACACGCTCAGGAAAGAGTAACAAACGTTGACGAGTACGCTGCCACTAATTAGGTCATCATGCATATGGCAAGCCATGAGGTACAAACCACTTCATTTCCGTTTTATTCCTTCAGGAAGTGCAGAGAAGCAGGTAGCCGTTTAGGGTATGTGTCATTGCAGTCTATGAACCGGTGTGATTACACCTCCGAATACGGCAGAACTAGTGGAAGCTGTTATTTTCCCTGCTATCGTTCCAGCAAAGCTCTCAGGACAGTCTGAGGTCACTTCGGTGCGAGGATGAAAGCCTGCCCACGTGGAGAAATGTCTGGTGTCTTTTGTTGCTGGCGATGTCATTTATTCTGAACCAACAGCAGTGACGATCACCAGTGTGACTGTCGAGAATTATATGGCATCCGATGTGTAAGCAACAAGAATTTCTTTAATGTAAGGAAGGAACATTCCATGTGGTACAGCCAAAGAACTAATTTAACTAAAGGAATTTAAAGGATGGCACAATGCAACGTGCTTCACTCCCCCTGCCCAATCTTAGAAATCACCTTAACTTAGGTGGGCTCTCACGAGGTAACCAAGTAAGAATGCAGAAATACTGTTTTATGTAAAACAGAAGTCTAGACTGCAGGGCTGACAGGTGATGAGGAGCATGAGAAAAAGCTACAAGGCAATGTACCCTTGGGAAGGTCGGGGGTAGGATGGACGGGTCACTGTGTAGACAGTCAAGCGAGAACTCTGTCTCCCGAGAGCACGCGCTGGTTAGCGAAGGAAGCAGACCTCTGGCCCATAACTGGTGTGACTTCACCAGGTTAAGAGCACTTGCTACCCTTCCAGGAGATCTCCGTTTGGTTCCCAGCACCCATGGCAGGCTGCTCACAATTGTCCTCATCTCAAGCTTCAAGATAGCTCCTGGCCTCTGCAGGAACCCACATGCAACCTACATATAGCACATACACACACATGCATGCACACACCTTCACATGTAAATCATCTTTAAAAACAGACTCCTGAGGAAATCACATAGATCCTAAGGCCTTCGGAAAGTTAAAGAAATCCAAAGTGAGTCACTGGCCTAAGATTTAGCTCCAAAGGGAGAAGAAAGCAAAGAGTAGTGAGAATAGCAAGTCAGATGATGAGAAATACACTTTCAAGATTATAATGCGTGACAATCCATTTAACACAATTGTGAGCCCCTATTATATGTATTTCCACTTCAAATATGCTCCCTTCCTTTCAGTTATGAGGTTTATATTTCCAGAGACATCTTCATTAGTCCATAGGCTGGCAAAGGGAACAGTACATTCTTCATTTTAAACCACAAGTGTGAAACTAGAAACAAGAAGAGAAACGAGACAAGTGCTTCGGCACTGCTGGGGATCTCCCTCAACTTCCTTAGAGCCAAACACAACGGCACAAATCGACCACACTATCAGAGAGCCAGTGACACTCATAACCACCCTTGGCAGTTCACCTTAGGAAACTTTTAGCTCATGAAGCATCTGCAGAAGAAAGAACAGAAGTTTCACACTTCTTCCAGACAACCAGAAGTCAATCTGTCTGTTCGTAGGCATTTGTCAGCCCCTGAATCATCAACAATTATCCTCCTTGCAGAGATCAAAAAAGGACAAGGCAGTGATCAACACGTTCTCTGGAACTAAACCACTCAGGCTTGGCCATGCATTGCCATGAAATGGGATGGAATGGGCTTAAATGACATGCCTATTTCATGTTCCTTTCATTCCACTTCTTCAGCGCCAGGAGAAAACAATTTCCATAAATTCCCCACTATTGACAGAATGGGCTCCACAGACGCCGCTTTGTCTATTGGTCATGACCTTATTTCTGTTTTGTCCCCAGAATCTAAGACAATGGTCTAGACTCGATACAACCTTTCTAAAAGTTCTTTTGTTCCAACCTTTGCCTCTCCTGTAACTTGAAGGGCACATCTGCACCATGCCAGTGGGACACTGGTAATGGCCAGGGCAGTGAACGGGCAGTGTGTGCTCATCTGATTCCCTAGAGGAGCTGAGGAGGCAGAGATGTTCACATGAAAGAAGAGATTTTAGTTCTTCTCCAGCTGGTATGACAGAGACCACGCCCTAATCTCCAGCAGGAAAGGAAGTTGACAGGGAGGTTGGCCTGGTAAGGTGTCAAAGTGGCTATTAAGATATGGCTTCTCTCCAACTCTGCTCCCTTTTCTACGCTCCATAAAATAGGAGTGTCTCATTGACTGCTAGATGTGGGGTGAGCTCAAGTGTGACTGTTGGTTTCCTGAAGAAATCACTAAAACACAAAATCAGGTCAAGGCAGGTTACCTCAGGAGTGGCCAAGCATCTATTTAACAAGTCAGCACTCAGCAGGCTGAGGCAGGCAGATTAGAGATCCAAGGATAGCCTGAACATCAAAATGAGTTAGACGGCAACCTGAACTATGTGAGATCCTGTCTTAGGCAAAAAGTCCAGTTAACAGAAAAAAGTTCTGACAGGAAAACAAAGTAAAGGACACCTGTTAACATTTGTTCTCAACCTGTGGTCCTCAACCGCTTTGGGAGTCCAGTGACACTTTCATAGGGGTCACCTAAGGCCATTGGAAAACACAGATATTTACATTATGATTCACAGCAAGTAGCAAAATTACAGTTATGAAGCTGCAACAAAAATAATTTTATGGTTGGGGGTCACCACACTATGTGGAATTATATGAAAAGGCCACAGCATTGGGAAGGCTGAGAACCACTGATTTAAAACACAGAGAACTCGAAATACATGAACACTATGAGTTTCTCAACCCCCATGCCTGCAATACATCCCACAACGTTATTCTCAGCTCTATATTTACACAAGCCGAGCGAAGTCTGCCATTGGAGAACAGTTTGATGGCATGCAGCTGACCACAGAAGCACCCTTTTGGGTTAAGGCACAACTTCAGGGTTCAAAGTGAAGACTTCAGCGTGTCAACTGCCACCCGAGTTTCAACAGATGTCCAGCAATTCGCAGCTCAGTATGAAATGACTAACCTCAAATCACCAGGCCCCGAGCAGGAATTGGATTAGATTTTTTCTTAAAGAGCAGCTAGTCGCCGGGCAGTGGTGGCGCACGCCTTTAATCCCAGCACTCGGGAAACAGAGGCAGGTGGATCTCTGTGAGTTCGAGGCCAGCCTGGTCTACAAGAGCTAGTTCCAAGACAGGAACCAAAAAGCTACGGAGAAACCCTGTCTCGAAAAATCCAAAAAAAAAAAAAAAAAAAAAAAAAGAGCAGCTAGTCAAATACCGGTTTAGAAAAGGTGCTTACCAAGAACCTGGTGAGGAAGACTGGCCACCCAAACCACAGCTCCGTCCTCTGAGGGATTAAGAGTTTATTCCCGAGACAAATAAGAGCAACTGAGACTGGGGTCCAGGTTGACCCAACGAGCGTGTTCCAACATGGAAACGGTTCCACCAGGCTTTCAACGTCATAGTCAATGAATCTTTAAGTGTCCTGGTGGCCAAATGTCAGCTTGGCGGGCTAAAGCAAATTGGAGACGCTTGTACAGCAAGTTTCAAATGCTACCCCACGCCACCATTGGTTTTCAGATGGAGGAAGCTAGTGGCCTATAAATACATTCCAAAAGGCTCTCCATGACAGTCACAGGGTCGTTAACCTAGACTCAAAGGTGGACAACAAATGGCCACAAAGGCGCTAGAGACAGGCTCTGCAACATTGGACTCTCTATGGATTTTAATCAGTCCTGGAAAACTTTAGGCAGAGGTGTGGCTTTTTCTCTGGAAGCTTCAATTCACAGGAGCATACGCTCTAGCTTCAAACTGCCTGGGTTTAAAACTTTGTGTTAAACCAGCTGTGGGAATGGCTGCTGCAGCGACCTCATCTATACAGCAAGAAGGACGCAAGTAACAGCAGCCCCCACCTCACAGCCAGGCATTGAGGGTCAATAGAGTGGTTTCTCAAGCACAGCACCTTAGGCCAGAAGGTGACTTTATCTGAAAACAAAGTCCTTTTAGACATACTTAGTTAAGATGATGTCATTCCAGAATAGGCTAGGCCTCTGATATCTGGTGTGACCAGTGTTTTCAAAATGGAAATTCTGGGTCAGCAAGATGGCTCAGTAGGTAAAGGTACTTGTCAAAGACCCGAGTTCCATCCCCAGGACCCACACGGAAGGAGCGCACCAACTAATACTGTCTTCTGACCTCCACAGCACACACACACAAATTCATAAATAGATATATAATAAATGTAAGTGTCAAAGGCGAAGGACGGGGCCATTCAGACACAGACACAGCCATGAACAGAAACACAGACGACGCAGGGGAAATGCTGTGTGAAGACAAAGATGGGTCTCAGGGTAGCGCCTGAGTGCCAAGGAGAGAAGCCTGCAGTGGGTCCCCTCTCACTGTCCTCAGAGGAAATGGCCCTGCCTGCATTGTGATTTAGCCTTCCAGCCTCTAAAACTAGAGACACATTGCTAGTGCCGAAGTCACCCAGCCAAAGCGACCCTGGGACACTACCACAGAAGCCCGAGTGCTTGGAGCTATTTGAAAGAGTTACCAGTGCCTAAGGAAATTCACAGCT